ATTGGTGTACAGGGAACTATAGGTTGTGCAAGGTTTTGATTGGCGTACAGGGAACAATAGATTGTGGAAGGTTTTGATTGGTGTACAGGGAACTATAGGTTGTGCAAGGTTTTGATTGGCGTACAGGGAACAATAGGTTGTGTAAGGTTTTGCTGGGTGAACAAGGAACAATAGGTTGTGTATGGTTTTGATGGGTGAACAAGGAACTATAGGTTGTGTAAGGTTTTGATTGGCGTACAGGGAACTATAGGTTGTGTAAGGTGTTGATGGATGTACAGGTAACAATAGGTTGTGTAAGGTTTTGATGGGTGTACAGGGAATAGGTTCTAATGGGTGAGTAGGGAACAATAGTTTGTGTAAGGTTTTGATGGGTGTACAGGGAATAGGTTCTAATGGGTGAGTAGGGAACAATAGTTTGTGTAAGGTTTTGATGGTTGTACAGGGAACAAAAGGTTGTGTAAGGTTCTGATGGGTGTACAGGGAACAATAGGTTGTGTAATGTTTTGACCGTTGTACAGGGAACAATAGGTTGTGTAAGGTGTTGAAGGGTGTATATGGAACAATAGGTTGTGTAAGGTGTTGAAGGGTGTATATGGAACAATAGGTTGTGTAAGGTGTTGAAGGGTGTATATGGAACAATAGGTTGTGTAAGGTGTTGAAGGGTGTACAGGGAACAATAGGTTGTGTAATGTTTTGTTTGGCGTACAGGGAACTATAGGCTGTGTAAGGTTTTGATTGGCGTACAGGGAACAATAGGATGTGTAAGGTTTTGATTGGCGTACAGGGAACTATAGGTTGTGTAAGGTGTTGATGGATGTACAGGGAACAATAGGTTGTGTAAGGTTTTGATGGGTGTACAGGAAATAGGTTCTAATGGGTGAGTAGGGAACAATAGGTTGTGTAAGGTTTTGATTGGTGTACAAGGGAAAGTTGGTTGTGTAAAGATTTTGATGGTTGTACAGAGAACAATAGATTGTGTAAAGCTTTTGTCCCTATATTTTATCCTTATGTTTCTTTTAAGCTTTGATTAGTGTACAAGGAGCAACAGGTTTTAAAAAGCTGTTGTCCCTATAATTCAAATTTTCATGGTTTTTGTTCAAGACTATAATAATTTGTTTTTGTATCGAATACAGGTGTTTGTTTATTACGCCTTTTCATATTATTGACTTTAATGCTAATTGTCGAGATATCATAACAGCATGTATGACATTATAAGGACTTTGTGAATTCATAACATTGTTCACAACGGACGTTAGTGAAGGTTCTAAATAAGGCGTTTAACAGCTAAAATGTCAAAGGGGAAACTGGACTTACTGTCAATAAGGGGCGGATCTAGGCATTCTAGCGATGTAAGCCAACTGCTTGCGGTCAGCATACGTCCGGTCTGATTATCTAATATTAACACATTAACATATTTAATAACAATACACTTATCTAATGTACACACCTGTGTCGTTATAATAAAGGTAACAATACTTACACCATCCTGACCTGTACAAGGGTAAATATATGTATAACAAAAGCAACAATACTTACACCATCCTGTCCTGTACAAGGGTAAATATATGTAGAACAAAAGTAACAATACTTACACCAACCTGACCTGTACAAGGGTAAATATATGTATAACAAAAGTAACAATACTTACAGGTATTGTATTTTAATTGTATTTAAAGATATATTAACTCTTATTAAATCTTTAATATGTTTTCCACTTGATTATACAGTAAAAATGTTCAACTAATTCGAAAAAGGAAGTGCCCATTTAGTGCGTCAATGCTGAAGCCATAGAAAATCATTTTATTTCACGGTATGGCCATTTCACCGTTTAAGAGCTATCATTATCGGAAAGGTCAAAGGAATGGAATTTTATATATTTAAAGTTGTTTCTACTCATGTATAGAAATGCTACGTAAGGGGAAAAGGTTTCTATAAAAACAAAATACATAACTTTACAAATACAACTTTAGGATACAACAAATAACTTACTCTCAAACTAGTATTTCATGTTACCATGCAGTATGAAATTCCAGCAACAAGGTTACGTCAAACCTGGAGGACTGAAAGCTACTAGCAACGTTAACACCCTTATGGCGTAAATGAACACTAGAAAGTCGAATAAGGAAGCACATATTTAACATTACGTATGTCGAAGCAAAAACAAAGTATTATTCGTCCATTTAAGACTCATTAATGGTAGCGAAAGTTGAACGACAATCCATATCTGCCGCGTAAGGGGAAAGGTGGGATATAAAACTATTTACAAAGTAACAAATTTACACCTTTTGGATAAATCTCCTTGTATGGTAAAGTTATCACTAGAAATATAAAGTAGGAAGATGCTAGATGAAAGTGATACAAATACGTTGTACTTACCATCTCATTTCAATAAATCGGTAACGACAATAGAATGATTTGCCTAGACGTGTTAGCATCGGGAACAGGGTATTCGGGATCCTGAGGCTCTCAATAGTAGTTCACTGCGGATATTGATTTCTAAATTTGTTGTTTTAATGAGACATAATGAGTATCAAAAACAAGATTATGTTTCCACATTGAGAAATTAAAATTAGAAGACGAGTTTTTACCTCTTTTATAAAACATTTTATTTAGCCTATCTCAAAGATTTGAAAAGAAATCCGACATCGTTTGAGCAAATAAATCGTATTTTGACAAGGCTTATCCATCATTTTTAACTAAAACTAAACCATAATAGCAACAGAACTTTTCAGAAACCTTATTAGAATTGTTGTTAATGGAATCGAAATAAGAGCCGATAATAATCGACCTCGGAATTCAACACTTTCCTATATCCTCCGGAGCAGCATCACAAGAACACTTATCACTGCCTGGTGTATAGTGTACATAAAATACAACGCTGATACATTTTGTATAACAAGTATTCTATCTGTAGAAAGCTAGCTAGGTCTTAAAGGACCCGGCTCATGGCACTTTTATGGTTTCACTAGATAAACGATGGACCAGTCGAACAACAGTTGACAGGTTGTATTTTGCTTGCGGCCGTAATGAGATTACAATCCACGCATGCTTTTATATATATATATATTCATATTAAAAACATGTCAAAGTAATAGTAAGGGTGACCGTGACACCCTGCAACACAACCTCGTTCGAGTTTTCTCATACTTTACCAATTGATTAAGTTTGATCAAATCTGTGTAGGACTTAAGATTCTAGATCGATGGGGAAAAATTACAGAAAAGTAGTATGTAAATAATAACGATGACCTTGACACTAACACTATGAAACACGAATTTGTTCGATGTGTTGTCATACTTAACCAATTTGATCAGTTTATTGCAGTAATGAATCACTGCAGCGATGACAAATATAATCTATAAAAGGTAACGTTGACCCTGACCTTGTCACCATGAAACTTGGACACATTTAATATATAAAGAGCGATGACAAAGATTTTTCTATAAAAAATCGAGAAAACCCTGTACCATAAAAAATCGAGAAAACCCTGTACCATAAAAAATCGAGAAAACCCTGTACCATAAAAAATCGAGAAAACCCTGTACCATAGCCGAGCTAATAAAGCTTGATCAGGACAGACGTATTAGTAATATGGAACCAAACAAATAATTACATAGTCTTGAATCGAGACACCTATATTTATGATTTCAAGTATGATAACAGAAGAAAAGATTTGAGAAAGGAACTTTTAAAGTTGATTTAAAATAAATCCCATAATCCCTATATGATCGACCGCCAGATTATTAAAGGTATAACTTTTAACTACCTTATAACAGGTTTTAATATATCTATCAATTATGGGAAATGGCAAACATTGTCGCTTTATATAAAAAAAATGGCTAGTTATCAAAAATTCCGAAGAAATAGAATTACATGTATGTACACTGATAAACAAAATATTTAAACGACAATTTGGCTAGGAAATCAACTGGCTTTAATTCCTTGAAATGATGGATAAATGGACAGAGTGAACACTGTAATATTTCTCGAATGAGGTTTTTAAGTAGCTACACTCTACGAGTTTAGTGCGTAAATGACATGCTGAAAAATCTGTTTCTGGGTTACCAAACGTCACCATGATGTCGGTAAAGGAACTCGAAGTCGATGGAATAGTTCAATAAAGTGTGTTAAGTCCGAGACTTTTCGTCTTTTACATAATGATCACTGAGGTTAATGTTTGCTGATGACACTAAGATAAGATATACCGAACAATATGCGATAATATTGATGAAAGTTTACACCAACAGTATCGCTGCAAATGGATGGGGTAAAAACGACTTGTTTAATTCAATTCTTAAAAGTGCAAGTTAACGAATATGTCTACAAAACGAAGAAGGGATTCACAATGAAATATAATGGATACGAAGGAGACAGTATCAAACTTGATAACATTGCATCAGAGAAAGACATTTGTAGTGCAGAGACTTGATCTTTACAGGGTAGTGACAACAAATCACACCTAAAGCCAAATGCATCTTAGCTGTTACACAGGCATCTGGTTCGGCCATCGTAAGTGTTATAAACAGACATCTGGTTCGGCCATCGTAGGTGTTATAGACAGACATCTGGTTCGGCCATCGTAAGTGTTATAAACAGACATCTGGTTCGGCCATCGTAGGTGTTATAGACAGGCATCTGGTTCGGCCATCGTAGGTGTTATAAACAGACATCTGGTTCGGCCATCGTAGGTGTTATAGACAGACATCTGGTTCGGCCATCGTAAGTGTTATAAACAGACATCTGGTTCGGCCATCGTAGGTGTTATAGACAGGCATCTGGTTCGGCCATCGTAGGTGTTATAGACAGACATCTGGTTCGGCCATCGTAGGTGTTATAGACAGACATCTGGTTCGGCAATCGTAGGTGTTATAGGCAGACATCTAGTTCGGCAATCGTAGGTGTTATAGACAGACATCTGGTTCGGCCATGTTCACAGTATGCGGCAATGCCGAAATAAACTTGAAAGGATAATGTCACAAATGAAAAGAAACACCAGAGAAAACAGTACACTGTATGCATGTCTTTAATCAAATAGAAAAGTAATCCGATTTAATTACAAAATAAAGTTGACACCTAGTTTCATGTTATTTGATTATATGTTTGACAAACTTAACGTATGTTATATGTAATAACTATAAAAAAAATGTTAAAAAAAATCTTTATTGTGGATAAATAAATGTTTCGCCATTTGATAATCTTCCAGATGGTACTTTACATTGGTGCGCTTACCTTATACTATCCGGATTGCATTATATGTATCCGGATCTAAGCAAAGACAAAAAGACTTACTTTAACCCTGACCTTATTTGACCGCCGTGATAATGACGGACAAGTTTCAGGTGAGAGTACAACGAAGATGGATTGGAAATGATGTTCTGTAATTCGGACCATCGTACATGAAGTTCACATTTTAACGAAGAGTTGTCATTCCAAAACTTTCCAAAATCCACTTTTTTTCTTATCGAAGAGGGTGGAGGGTGGCTGTTATCTTAGTTGGCAAGCGCATTTTATTTTTATTTGTAAAAAGGGTTAATGTACATTTTTTGTCAGGTCGGTAGAAGTAATAATATATGCAACGTCAAAATCTCCTGCAGATCAAGTGCACTGTGTACCAACATGATTAAACGTTGTATTAAACATATAGCTAGAGACATTAACTATGGCGATAAGTTATTGTTAATTTCAGCATGAATTTTAACCCCCCGACGGAGATATAAGCTACACATGGATACCAAGAATGAATTGGATGCAATGAAGAGGTTTCACCTTCATAAGTCAATTTTTAATGATGGACAAATGGCTGTAAAATTCTTAGTCTACCATGATTTTAGACGGTTTAAGTAATGATATTTATGTAACGATAACTTATGTGTTACTGAAGGCTGTTTAGGTTTATTCAACATGCTCATCATTTCTCTTTTTTCTTGCCTTTCCACTTTTTCTATATCGAAATGCTCACGTTTTGGACAACAATATCGAATGGCATACACAATTAACACCTGTACTTAGACTTGATAATATTTCCGAGGCTAAATATTTTTTCACATTCCACACTTGAGATATAAAACACTAAAGCTACAACCTTTATCTTGGCTAACCCCGCAAAGTTGGGCATTATATCAATTGGTAGCGTTATCACTCCGTTACACAACTTTTTCTTTATCGATTTATTATCTTAAGATCATCTACGCAGCATTTGGCTACTCTCTTTTTACACAACTCATTCATTCCTTCCCCTTTCCAACCTAGCTATCTCGGTTCACCTTACAACTTTTCCTCTCTGTTTCATGTTTTCAATATACATTGGCTGGCAAATAGCAAGATGGGTTTATACGACTGGCTACACTTTGGTTAGAAAAACGCAGTTTAAAACTCGCTTGATTTCAATAGTGTTTATATAGATTTTACCGAGTATGAAAGTTCTTCTGACATATTCTTATCCCATATAAAGCTCTCCATAACGACTTTCGGGTTTCCATCTTACTGCGGCGGTGCATCTGAAGTTCAGATGTGGCATCAAGATCTGCAGTTACTACATTCTCATTCCTATGAATCCTAATTGGTTGCCAAATGGTCGGCCGTCGCGCCGGTATGAGAAAAACAACTCTGAGTTACAGCTGGTGCATTTTGTACAGGATTTATCGTCAATGTTATTGGGTTTTACGCCATTTTGTTCCAGTAACACGCGATTGCACAACTGCAAATTCACAAACGCTTTCAGGCCATCATCACTCACCACAGCTGCTTCTTCAACTATATCATTGAACTGGCCGATTTTGTCAGCGTCGAATTCGAAACAGCACTGACCAATGGATGGACCCATTGCTACACAGATGTCAGCCGGGTTAGTGCCAAATGCTGTCGCCATTTTGTGGATAACTTCTACACATGCGCGTTTCACTGTACCCATCCAACCAGAATGAAGTGCTGCACATGCTCTTTTGACAGGATCGGCAAAAATCATCGTTACACAATCTGCGCCAGGGGCACCTAAAGTTGTTCCCAGTCGATCGGTAGCGATCCCGTCATATCCTTCCGGTTCCTGCTCCCCAACGACAAGGACGCAATTTCCGTGTACGGCACTCGCTACACGAAACTGTTCCGGATCAAATCCGACGTGTTTTGCCAACTTTCGACGGTTTTCTTGCACTAAAGCTTTAGGATCGCGTTTGGATTGAGAAAACACGAGATTTAGGGATTTCATTCCTGGGAGTGACGACAGTCCACCAGTTCTGCAACTAAAACCATGGTAGAACAAATCCGTGGGAATGATGGGTGACGTAAGCGTGCTGACGTCACCAAAAGCTGACGTCTGAGAGCCAAAGAAGTTGCTGACATCTTTCGTAATCTGTTCCTCTGTGAAGACTTCCGTTTCCTGTTGATCGACTGTTATGATTTTCCATTCATAAACATTCGTGATAAAACGCGTCAACAGCAGGCGCCAGTACTGGACGTGTCTATTGGAACACAGCACAGAAAAGGCGCAAAGTCCATGTTTGTCCAAATACAATTTCGCATCGTAAAACACTGCAATCTTATCTTTGTTTCCAAACTGAACTACTTTGTCATGGTTCTGTTTGCCCAATGCTGTCTTCACGCTATCTGATTGTGAGGAGTCGCTCGCCAGTAACAACACACTACTATTTTCTGTCGGAGGTAAACTTAAGATTTTCTCTACTACATCATTGCAGTGCTGTTCTGTCCAAAGGTCCAACATGTACGTTCTTTCAGTTCCGGCCATCGTTCTAAAATAAAATTGATATTATGATTCTAATATCAAACAGTTCAAGTTACGGTAAACAGATGTTGAATCTCCTTACAATGAACATGGGTACGATCCACATACTTTAAACTTCTGTATCATGTTACAAATACAAAGGCATAATCGGTAAAATGTATCTATTTTACCGAAAAAACCCCTGATCAGATCCTTCTACTCATAATTTCGGTCTTTGATCCAATAAAAGATAAAAAAAAAGAAGATATAATTTATGTTGTCCGGTAAGTAATATTGAGGTTCCCCATCAGTGATGGTTGTGATGATGTTTGGTTATCATGTTTATCTAACAGAGTTAAGTTTCACATTGCATAAAAGGCGCAAGGTTTACAGAGTATTTTTTTACAATTTAAAAGTAACGAGAGTGATAAGCAACCATCCCGACTTTTTTCTCCCACAACGTTTAGATATGATAATAATAAATTAATCCTGTTTTCAATGGGGGAAACAATTGTCGTGAATTGAACTATGACGTCACAATGGAAGACGACGCCACAAAGGATTGTTACTTGACGTCATAATTAGAAAATTGACCAATGAAATAACGTCGAGGTTCTGGTTGCTCAAAATTTGGTTAGAGTTTACCATGGCCAGTGGCTAGGGAAAAACTTCAAAATATAATTACAAGAAAATCAAGAACTTCTGATAATATTTCACTGTTACATATTTGTCAGAATAGAAAGACGTCTTTTGAGAATTCCTTTTGATTTGAAACTCTTGCTTCGTATTGACAACCATTTGATTTTTCACTAACCATTTTGTAAAGTTAACCAACCTTTGAGCAACTGAGGACAGGGTGTAACCACTAGTGGGTAACCAAACATGTCTGCCTAGCAGGTTCATCCAATGAGGAAACCTATGTGATTTTTGGAGAAATATAACTTTTACAATAACTATGTTCACTAACAGGAGGACATACAACGCACAATGCCTGGCGAAACCAAGTTTGTATGTACAAACCCAATGTAAAAAGCACCAATAAAACGCACCGCGGGATACTTTATAACATAACCCTATGTCCATGTACATACGTAGGAAAAGGCAAGCGTCAAATTACATATATATATATATATCAATGATTATCCTTCTGAAATAATTCGAACAGAAAGGGAAACTTGGCAAGTGAGTGTATACCTACCTCTATGACAGGTAAAGTTAAACTTTACGTATATTACATGGCAAACAGACATTAGGAATTCCGTTGTATTATCATCACGATACATAATTCTCTCTGATTTAACTAAAACAGCTGTTTATATCAATGAGCTCAAATGAACAATTATGTTGGTCTACTTTCGGTTTCTATATATAATGGTTAATAGTACGCCGACACAAGGCTGTTTTCTTGATGGAACCACGGAATTAGATTTAAGTCCGTGGTGGAACATATGGATTATGATATCCTTAAATACAAATAAATACGGTAAACAAATAAAATCAATATAATGGGGGGAAAAAGAACACATTACCTTCCTTCCTGCCTATGTAAGATACGGAAGTAATCGATTATCAAAATGCAAAATGTGTCGCTGGGAAAAATATGCCCGCTTGAAATGTTCCGGGCGAAAATAATAAAGCGTCTGTCGAATTCGACCATCACGAATTTCTTATTTATAATTATCGTCAATTTTATAGACTAAACGTGATATTAAATGGCGTTGCATTCATATGAAAACCAGTTAAATCTCGTCAAACGTACATATGGATGTTGACTGAATAATGTTTTCAGTGAGAAATCAAACAATATATAATTCCGTGATATAATCGACGACTTTCTGGAACAACCCGAAAAACGTCCGAGTCTTATTGTGTAGCCGCTGTCAACATATAAGACTAAACTTTTCAATTTCTTAACGACCCACTTTTAAACAGCTGACAATAAGCTGACATTTTCTGCCGTTTGATGAAAAAATTGAACTAACTGTTTGAGTCTTAACTTTCGGTTATTAGGGATTTTAGTACGTTGGAAATAACCAAGATTATTTTTAATATTGATTAAAGAACAGCTGTTATTGAACGGTAAACAAACGTATGCACGAATATTTTAGCTCTGAAAAGTTCTATAGGGTTCATGAACATGATAAAATTTGCTCCGTTTAATTGAACTTCTACAGTTATTATCGTTAAAAATATGTATAAAAATAAAGTCATGAAACACTGTCGACGTCGACTTGTACATGAAGTCCATACGTAGTGAAGGGCGGAAATTCAGGCGATTTTTCAATAATTATCATCATTAATATAATTGATTAAATATGCTTTCTTATGCAAAACAATGTATAACAAAAAAAAGTATACGCTGTTTTGTATTTTGAACAATACACAACGAAAATATATATGTAAATAAAACAAACAACCTCTAGATCTGTGCCTGCTAAGCTTTGAACCATATTGATGGAATGTACAAAAACCGGAAGTAACTCTTCAATGATGCAGCAGCTGCAACATCGATAATCAAGATCCTTACCGTTTCTAATATAATGTGCGTCTTTACATGATATACACAAGCGACCAGGACAATAGGTGAGTCTATGCTAGTTATTTAGTATCAGTAGCTAGTAAGCCCTAAACTGCGTGTTGGTAAAGTTGTTTCGATAACTGTCAAAATAACTTGCTGATGATGGATTATGGACTTGCTCAAGTCCGAGATTTTCCCTCATTGGGCATTGGGCGTGCTTGATTTGTACTCAACGAGCACCCGCCGATCGTGTTTGGCTGATATTTTGTTTATAAGCAGTAGGACAAATGTGAGGATACCAAAAATAAAAGACTTAAAATAAATAATGTTTTTTTTCCTTTTCTATAAATGATTGTTTGTGATGTGTTACAGTATCTGTGACAAAAAATAGCAATACAAAAATGTTGCATGCTGCTTGATGCATTCCTGATGCGGTTAACACTCAAAAGTGCTCACAATTTTTTTTTATTTTTTTTTCTAGTAGATCTGTATACCACCAAAAACAAACCTGACTTAATAATTCCATATCAAAAAGACAGAAAATACTTTTAAATGCATAGATCATGAATATTTATTAAGAAATATAATGTAGCTATGGATCTGAGGACCTGATGATGTTGGGACAGAGAAAAAAAAGATTTAGGTAAACTTTCTAACAGAAGATTTGTTCTAGCGCTTAACACTGATTTGTACAACATTAAGGTTCTGCTTCTCTCCAAACACCGTGAAATATTCCTAGTATTTACCTGAATGGTGTTTATTTTTTTCATTTGGAAAACAAATAATTTTACATAAATTATTTGTTATTTTTAGAGCAATTAGTAAATGAAATAAGTATTTTCTAAGATAAAAAGACATTACAGATTAAAGATTCATCATGCAGTGATATGTTTATATATGTATTACTGTTCTAAAAGTAAATGATTTCAATGGCATATCTTTTGTAGGTGCTGATGAGCTAACAATCCCTGATGACAAGTAATGGAACCGTCACTAACATGGGTCAGGGGGCAACTTCCTGTCAAAGGTCAAATGACCAAAGGTTGCATATGGGTCAAAGGTCAGATGACCAAGGGGTGCATGCAGATAATGATCAAAAGTTGGATGACTCAATGTCACAAACAGGTATGAGCTTAGAAGATCTAGCTATAGGGATGCATGCAGGTCAGAGGTCAGATGAATCAAGGTCAAATCCCTGTCCAAGGTCAGAGGACCCAGAGCTGCAGTCAAGTCAAAGGTCAGAGAACCTAAGGTCACATTCAGATCAAAGTTCAGTTTCAGAGAGAGGGCAGGAAGAGGTTTTGGCAGAGTCATCAATATCTTTGTTAGAAGAGGAAACAATAAATGATTCAGGTGTGGGTGATATTGAACAATCTATTCAGTTATGCAACACAAGTAGTTTATCGCCCATAGTGTCGTGTGAATTACCTCCCCTTGGAATGCCTGATGAGTTATCTGCTCTTGTCTCATCTATTGAATCAGAGACATCACAATCTTCAAGTGCTACAGAATCTATCAGCGTCTCCAGCCTGTCAAACGTAACTATTGAATCTGTGAAATGTTTGAAGGATAGAGATATTGATATAACCGATCCCAAGCTTCTGAAACACATTGATTTACTTCTTTGTGATTTGAAACAAAGTGCGGACAATCCCTTGAAGAAAATCCAGGTCATGGATGAAATCATACATGCAGAATTTATTGTAGTTTGTGAGAGACTGTTCAAGTATCTTGTGGACACAGACATCACTTTGGTAGTGCCAGGATCCTCCTGGTCACATTTGAAGAAACTTTTATCTCTAATATGGATTCTGAGTGATGGTAGTATCACTCTTTGTGAACAGCTAGTACAATCCCATTGTGCTTTAACAATGATAGCAGACCTTCTCAAGAGGCTTTCTGAGCCATGCGACCTTGAGAAGAACACTGTTTCCAAGTATCTTGTCAAGGCTCTCCTCGGCGTCCTCCATAATGTTAGCAGACACTTGTGTGACACAAATGTTCGAGGTACTTTGCGGCAAGCAGGAGTGATGACAAACCTTAAAACGTTATCACTGAGCAGAACACCTATGGTACAGGCGAAGGCGCTCCTTGTCATGTCATACATCCTTGATGAATCAGAAATTGTTATTCTGAGTGTCGACGACAATATACTTCAATTCATTGTACAAGTCTTGAATGATGCGTATCAATCCAAAACACACTTCTCCTCAAAATTTGGAATGAATGTTGAAGAGACGCTCCGTGGTCTCAATAATTTGGCAATAAATGACAAAAACAAAGTTTGCATATTAAAATTTGGTGTCTTAAGAATATATGTTAATCTCATTTTGGAGTATACTAACCCAGACGAAGTGTTCCAGGCCATCAGTGGAATCTGGAGACTGGCATTCCACAAGGGAAACTGCCATAGCATCAGGTCACATCCGCAATGTATAGAAGGTAGGTACTGTAAGGAGTTATAATAAAAACAGTATACATGTATGAATAACTTGATACAAACAAGTAAAATATTCAGAATTATATATTACAGATACATTATGAATGCTGGGATGCCATGAAAATGCTACAGAGACTTAACAACATAGGGGTTAAAATTAAAAATCATGTACATTTATAAGTAAGTTTCCAAATAATTTTCTTGATTGTGTCAAGTATAATAATGTATCCATTTGTTTTTGCAAATCTATAACAATTCAAATATAAACTGATCATTAATTGATCACATATATACATCTTGATTCTTTGTAGCGCTGATGTCACTACAGAAATCAAATGATGAAGCGATTCGGCATGCAGCCAGAGGTGCATTGTGGGAACTTCGTGAAGTACCCGAGTTACAGCTGAGGCCAGATCTAGGTGAAATCAAACTACCATCCAAAGAATTTTTTATACAAAACTACTCTCAGTAAAGTAGACTTTCCACATGCCAGTGCTGTACCAGTAGGACTAGCACCAGTGTGTGCGGTAAAACATCATAGGAAATGTGCTATTCTAGCTGTCCTTAGCCAGCTTATTAGTATTGGTACAAGTATATCAGAACAAACAGACATATTACATGACCTTTGGGCGTTGGCCCTTTGCTGTAACTTGACCTTCGTTGTACAGTTCTAAGAATGACATGCAACACACTATCTAGTCATCTGACATCTATATAGTAATGTTACTATAGTAGTAATACTTTCGAAATTCTAGGATGTCTCATGACGTATTCACAAGTTATTACACCAAAAAAATCAATTAAGTCATTATGACTGGAAGATTGTGTGATCCTATACTTTCACTGATTCGGGACTATCTATTCAGGCGCATAGCTGCCTATACGTTGGTACATAGGTGAGTCCGCGAAATTTTCAAGCAATACAATCGCATGTTGGTGTAGATAGATGAGATAATTCCTTAGTCGAAGGTGAGGACAATTTGTATTGAATTTTATATTGAAATGAGAATATATGATAATATTACATTACTGAAAACTTTCTAACAAAATTAAACTACCTAACCAATGTCCCTCACCCTTATGTCACATCAATATTAAAAAACAAGAAGTTCACACACAAACAGGAAGTTTCCTTCATTGTTATCATGACGGTGGCTATGTTGGTGTAGCAGAAGTTATTATGCCATCCACATTTATATATTTATCAAATCGGCACCCAACATTTGGTCATGTGGTGTAGATATAAAGCACAAACAATGACATGACTTAAATGTTTTTGTATTTACCTCCCTACAGCCAGCTTGGTGGTGCAGTGTCCTCACGTGATGATCAGTTATCAGTGGGGTAGTCAGCCGCTGGCGCTCCGCCTCATAGATGTACTGAAGCATGCCGGTTACAAAGTGTGGATGGATGTTGAGCACATGAGTAAGCCTTAAGGATCCATGTAGATTTGTGTTTGGTAATCAAGAAATCACATGGTCGGGAAAGCATTAGTAGTAGGGTTTTAGTGAGCCAGTGATAAGATATCTATGCTAGATAACTAAGACTGTGCTGATCAACAGTGAACGGACAGCTCAGTTGGTAAAGTAATCATATACAGTTCAGCTACCATGTTTCCCTGCCTTGATTGTAGGAGTTTCCTATAGTTGATCTAGGCGTGGTTAAGAGTTGGTTACCAGATTCTAGGGGTCAAGTTCCCAATCCCTTTCTTGACCATTGTGTTTCACTCTTGTTATACACATGAACATGTTTCTGTTGAAATGAAATTCAGCTGTCAAGAATATTTGAGTTTTCTTACAAACACTAATGGAACAAATTTACACATGTGTGTACACTATGTTAGGAGGAATTAACTATATGTCAAACATCATCCTGAATCTGTTTCTGATATTGTAGCTGGGTCGACCCTTGAGGCAATGGCGTTGGCTGTAGAAAGGTCTGCCGTTGTATTGATATGCATGTCACAGAGATACAAGGATAGTCCAAGCTGCAGATCAGGTCAGTTACAATCTGAATGCTGGAAGAGCTAGTGAAATTTTGTTGGTATAAATATTTAGTCATTGAACAGTTTTTGGTTGGCATTCATAGTCATTATAAATGCCAACTTAATATAACATTTAAAATTCTGTGAAGCATGCTAGAACTTCATATTGAATTTGTTTTTGTCATATACACTTGGTATTCTTTTGACAACTGAAAGCAGTTCAATGCTTATATTTACCATTTTCAAACAGTTTTATCTTGTAAAATATTATATAAACTTCTCAAAATTCAGCATTTGTGTTCAAATAAGTGAGTTTATCATATATGCTTCTATAATGAATAGAACAGCAATCTTCAATTGATATCAAATGCTATAATTATGATGTAATAATAATGACAATGTCACCATGTGGGACATGGCATTCATAGCTGATTTGAATGCTATCTGAATTTGGTAGTGTTATATAGCGACAATGCCATCAAGCAATAATTGTTTAGTGATTCACCCATTGGCTATTGAATTTTTCAAAAATCACTCTGTGCTTAGCATACATGACCTAAAGGAATGAAAGTTATGGTATAGCTATGGGGTGTAGTTGATTTTGTGTTCATTTAAGTATTACATTATTGTGCAATAGAACACCTAATATGTGTCTTACTAGTTCAGATAATCAGTGCTCTACTGAAAATGGTATAAGTCTTGCTCTGTCATTATTTCAGAGGCAGAATATACATACAAACTGCGAAAGAGCTTCATCCCTGTTTGTGTACAGGAGAAGTACGAGGCAGACGGCTGGTTAGGGATGCTGATCGGAACCAGACTCTACTTTGACATCAGTACAGAACCACTGTTCGATCGTCAGATGCCAAATCTGATTAAAGAGCTAGGTGACAGGGGTCGCCTGTCTGCTCGGACTGAGATTGTTGATGGTAGGTTAATAAAGGAACAGCCTCAAGCTTTAAGAGTATTATCAAATACCGTTATTCTTTTTGACAGTCAAGGACATCAACCCCAATTGTGTGACCCATTTTTTGTATACATAAACGTACACAATTGTGATTAAATGCAGTCATTGTCAATGGTCACAACGTGCAGCCTTCTGCAGCCTATATAACAATCTGAAATATTGGAATTATTTATTTTTAAGAATTGCTACAAACAAGACTCTATATTACAGATGAGGTTACAACACCCGGTTATGTAGCCAGACTGACCTCCAACTGGTCAACAAAACATTCTCATGCCAACTGGACCATCCAAAACGTTTCAGACTGGATGAAAAATCTCAGCTTGACTGAAGTTCCACAAGAGTGAGTATTTTAGGAACACTTAAGTATATGGTCCAGCTTTAATAGAAAATAACACGATCAGGATTATAATCAAAAATAATTAATATCACTGACCAAAAACGTTTTCTCTTGTTCAGTCTCGGCTTTTTGAAGAATCCTTCTGATGTGAATCTCCATTGGGAACAGATATGAAGCAATAATTTGGTTCAGAACAGAAAGATGTTTCGATTGCTTGTAACATTATTTGTTCACATAAGAATGTGTAAAGTTGGGATGTTATAGAAGATCTAGTTTGTCCAAGCTTAGGATCCCTGTCCTAATGCAGGTAAATCTACAGATTTGATATTCCACAATACTTTTACATTAACTCCCTCGTAATTTTGTTTTAGATATACATTGTAACTGAAGTTGTACCGAGCAACGAAACTACCATTGATCAAAAAGCTCAGTTGTTAGTGATTCAAATCCTTTTCTGGCTCCATTATATTTTCACTCTTTGAACACTTTTGTCAATTATATAGAGGATATTCAATGGTGTCTTCAGTAAGACTGCACACCCGTGAAAAATATCAAAATATTAGCCACACGAGTGAAATATATCTGTTTTTACTGAAGACAGCATAACATTTTCTATTTATTACATTTTTAGAGCATAAAACATGAAAAATGTAATGCACTGCATTAAAAAAGGGCGGGAATCAGAAGTGTTATAACTAGTGCCACATTCTAATGACATCATGCTTGGCAACAAGGCTGCACACCATTTTGAATGGGATAATCAACGCAATTCCGACGTTTTCTGCTGTTTTCTAGTATGATTGCTTATAAAACTGTTCTTAATTGTATATTTATGTAAATACTTAAGTGTGAGTACCAAACATTTACCATAACAACCACTTATTCTACCGTCGCTCCATTTGAATCTGAACAAAAAAATCGTTGCCTTTGAATGCAGTGAAAAGAAGATACTGTTTTGATCGGTCAATACCGAAAATTGATATTTGTCACAGTGTGAAAGATATCAGTTTTAATCAAGTTGATAGAATCGGATATTTCACTGGCAAAAACATAATAAATTTGTTTATTTCAACTTTGGTATATTTTTCATAAAAGTTCCACAAGATATGTTTTAGAAATGTTTGATTAAAGCTGTGGTTATGAGTAAAAACTTCCCAAGTCATAGTTACAGTTTTCAATGGTACAGGGATCCTTGATATAGATTATACACTACAATAATGATTCTTGTTCCATGTGTTCTGTAAGTCATTGATTTAAAAATTTAATGTTATTACTGTTTTTGTCTTTTTTTTTTAAACAGCAATTTTCTAAGGAAAACTTAGAGAATTTGCATATTAGTAAACTGAAAAAACAACTATGAAAAGTTTGATATTTCACCAATTAAGAAACCAAATCTAGAGTTATGGACAAGCTGCTAAGGGTTTCTACAGGTTTCCATTGAGCAGGAATTGGTTAAGGTATTTTTATTTTACAGATTGCTGCATCTTGATGGAACCATGCTGTGGGAGTCAAAGAAGATGCTGGAGACCTCACCTGATTTTCTGTACACATATCTTCACAGTGACCTTAAAATGACCTTTCCAGACATACTCAAACTTTCCAGAGCTCTCCGACAGTTGTGACCGATCAAAACATAGGTTTAATGTGGTTTGTAAAATGATTACAAGAGGGAGTATACTCTATACAGGGCACAGTGGTGTATTTTTTTGACAGGGAACATTCCTTGAGAAGCATTTCAGACCTAACAATCTCTAAGTTGCAACTTCTGCAGTGTGAATCAATATTTTCAACACAAATGCAAAAACAACAGCACAAACAAAAAAATGCTGTATCAGTGAGCATACTATTGTATACTTTATATGTACATGTATATATGTGCTCTAAGGAAATTGAGTAAGGTCAAGAATCACCAATATTTTACTAGAAATCAAATATTATACAGCATCATTGATTCAGCCTCTATTAATCCAGTTAACCGGCCACTTATAATCCAGCCAGTGTTTGATAGGCCTGTTTTATACCATTGTCTAGGTAATACAGCCAGTGTTTGATAGGCCTGTTTTATACCATTGACTAAGTAATCTGGCCAGTGTTTGATAGGCCTGTTTTATACCATTGACTACATATGTTAGTAATCCAGCCAGTGTTTGATAGGCCTGTTTTATACCATTGACTACATATGTAAGTAATCCAGCTAGTGTTTGATAGGCCTGTTTTATACCATTGACTACATATGAAAGTAATCCAGCCAGTGTTTGATAGGCCTGTTTTATACTATGACTAAGTAATCAATGTGCCAAGAAAGTAGGTGGCTGAAGAACTTAATGTGAATAAATTCAAATATAGCTGGATTATCTATTGAAAAAAGAGATTGCTGGACTATCTACTGAGGAAAAAAGGTGGCTGGATTATCTTCTTAGAAAGAAGATGGCTGAATTATCTACTGAAAAAGGATGGCTTGATTATCTTCCTAGAAAGATGGCTGAATTATCTACTGAAAAAGAAAGTAGGGGAAAACATAGCTATCTTACTCATAAGTTGAGGAAATATATCTATCATACTCTGAAAATAAAATAAAATAATATTTAAAATCCTAGTTTGACGATAAGTATTGAAAATCTGTCAATATTCAAGTGACAGCAACGTGAAATCTGTCAATATTCACGTGGCAGCAAGGCTACATCTGTCAATATTCACGTGGCAGCAAGGCTAAATCTGTCAATATTCACGTGGCAGCAACACGAGGAATAGATGTAAATGTGAGAGCCAGCCGTGACAAACTGACAGGACAGCTGTCTAAGTGTTGATTTCCTATCTTTTTTCTTGCTTCCGTTGGCACATCAGCAAAACAAGTTGAGATCCTTGGGAAACTTTTCAGTACATAAACTAACTTACTTAGAAACAGTTGTCTTAAGGTATTAATAAAAAAAAATGTATTCCTGCTAAACCAGTGATCTTTCTGAGTGAATACAATGTGTGTATCATTAAAACATGCCTTTTTAATACCAAATATGCAAGATGGTATGTTTTCTGTGTGTATGTTTAGTATGGTCGCTGTGTGTGTTTGTTTAGTATGGTCGCTGTGTGTGTATGTTTAGTATGGTCTCTGTGTGTGTGTTTAGTAGGGTCTGTGTGTGTGTGTTTAGTATGATCTGTGTGTGTGTGTTTAGTATGATCTCTGTGTGTGTGTGTGTGTTTAGTATGATCTCTGTGTGTGTGTGTTTAGTATGGTCTCTGTATGTATGTTTAGTATGGTTTCTGTGTGTATGTTTAGTATGGTCTCTGTGTGTATGTTTAGTATGGTCTCTGCTAGTATGTTTAGTATGGTCTCTGTATGTATGTTTAGTATGGTCTCTGTAGAAGTGTTAAGTATGGTCGCTGTGTGTATGTTTAGTATGGTCGCTGTGTTTATGTTAAGTATGGTCGCTGTGTGTATATTATGTTTAGTATGGTCTGTGTGTATGTTAAGTATGGTCGCTGTGTGTATGTTTAGTATGGTCTCTGTGTGTATGTTTAGTATAGTCGCTGTTTGTATGTTAAGTATGGTCGCTGTGTGTATATTATGTTAAGTATGGTCTGTGGGTATGTTTAATACGGTTGCTGTGTGTATGTTATGTTTAGTATGGTCTCTGTGTGTGTGTTAAGTATGGTTGCTGTGTGTATGTTAAGTATGGTCTCTGTGTGTATGTTAAGTATGGTCTCTGTGTGTATGTTTAGTATGGTCTGTGTGTATGTTATGTTTAGTATGGTCTGTGTGCATGTTTAGTATGAGCTGTGTGTACTTTTAGTATGTTGTGTGTTCTCAACATTTCTCTTTCCTTTTCCTTCAAGATAATTAGAAAGTGTGACTGTAAAGTCAAAAAGAGTGCATGCCATTATACCCCCTGAAACAGGGTATACATGTACTGAATCAGCTTGTCCGTCCGTAGAAAAAGTTTGCCTGGACATTTCCTTCTAAAGTAATGGACCAATTTCAACGAAACTTTGAAGATATGATAACTACTACCTGAAGTTGTGCATCCGGGTATTAGTTTTTTATCCTGACCCTTTTTTTTAGAAGGTTATGAACCTTTGTTGAAAAAAAACTGAAACTTTTTGTTCGGACAACTTCTTCTAAAGTTATAGATTGATTTCGCCGAAAGTTTCCAGATATGATAACTACCATCTGAAGTTGTGCATTTAGGTATTATTTTTTTATTCTGTCTCTTTTTTTTTTACAAAGTTATGACCCTTTGTTGAAAAATCCTTGTCAGCACAACTCCTCCAAAACTATGGGGCAGTTTTCAGATATAATAACTGCCACCTGATATTGTGCATCCAGGTGTGTTTTTCCAACCCGTTATTTATGGAGTTATGACCATTTGTTGAAAAATCCTTGTTCTGACAACTTATTAAATTATCTACTGGGCCAATTATTGCTCCTGACATGCATCCAAATTAGTACCAGTGGCACTTTTTCATTCTGACCCTTTTAAAAGGAATTATGGCCCTTTCTTGAAAAAAACTTAAGCTGCCTCCTAAACTACTGGGCCAATTTCAATGAAAGTTTAGATATAGTAATTACCACCAGATGTATTAGGGAAGTATTTTTCATTTCAACCCTTTTTAAGGAGTTATGGCCATTTCTTACAAATCTTTGTCCTGACATTTCTTCCTTGACTTCTAGGAAGATTTCAGCAAAACTTGTTCTTCTGGGCTAACAAGATTTGGTTTGCAAGTATCTATTGGCATTGGGAGGGAGTACATGAAGTATGTCAGTGACCTATAAACTTGAATAAGTGTACAATTCAGTCAATATAGAAATCATTACTGGTGGGAGACCATGAATTGTCTTGCAATGCTTTGCCTTAGTACAGTACAGTGTAGCGGGGGTATTAGTTAGCCTTTGGCTTACAGTTCTGGTTGTTATTGGTTTAAGCTTTCATTTATAAAATGTAAAAAGCTGTAAAAAGGCAAAAGGCATGATAATGGTAACCAGAGTTAACATGTATTATCACCATCCCACATTCTGTAGTTGTTGTTGAACTGATTGCGGTATGCCAAAAGGGTGCATGCTACGCCTGTTTATCATCACTCTAGCACTCTGAACCTCTGAAGTATTTGTTCAAGATACCCAATTACTGGAGATATAAACATGAATAAGCCTTTAAGAGAAATGACAAAAAATCTAAATTTTGAAACCTTCTTTACTGCCAAAATATTATATATTCCCCTTTTCCCTATCTGTCTTAAAATTTCTTTATCTGTCTCCTTCAGTAAACTGCCAAACCCCTTTATAATGACAAAGTTTTGCTGGACAAAAGATGGCAGTAAATGACAATGATCTTGACCTTAGAACAAACGTAATTGACCCAAAACACAAACTCGTTCAAAATATTCAAATACTGGATACTTCCAGCTGCGTGGTCAATCCATATCAGTCTTTATCTGAACTAGATAACCTCAAGTGTCCTACAATTGAGTGTTCTGAGTAAGATAAAGGTTGTGAAGCAGAGGAAGAACATGTCTGCTTTATTATGTTTATCGTAATAATTTATTCATGCTTCCACTTCTGACACCCACCATTTTTAAGATCTCTAAAGTTCATTTGTAAGTTTGATCTTTTCTCTTCACTTTTTTTTCTGCTGCAATTAGTCTTAGCAACAGTCAAACATATTGTGGTATAAACTTTTGAGCAAAACTGCTGCATTTCGATATTTCCTCATGAAGTGAAGTTGTTGTTTGACCTATTTGCTGTCACACATATAGTAATTTATATTTAAGAGATTTTTCTGATTTTGGTACATATGTTTTTTCTGATCAATCTGCTTGAATGGGAGGACAGGTGGAATCTCTTTAACTTATGAAAATTAACAAAAACTAAAAAATATACCAATCAATCTCAAAATCCCATTCATTTATGGGTTCAAAGGTCAAGGTCACTCACAAGTACATTCAGGCTTAGCAGTCAAACATGTCCTGTATGCATACCCTATATACACCTTAGGATGATGATATTTGGCCAGTAACATGCTGGGATGAAGGGCTACCAAATTTGTTCAAATTGGGTCTAATATGTTAAAATCCTTTAAGGACTTCTTCAGAATAACCAAGAGGCCTATGCTGATGATATTTGGCCAGTAAAATGCTGAGAGGAAGGGATAACAAGTTTGTTCAATTGAATGACCTTGACATATATTCAAGGTCACAGGGTTCAAATATGTTTAAAAACTTTTAAACTACTTCTTCTGAATAACCAAGAGGCCTAGGGTGATGATATTTGGCCAGTAAAATGCTGGGATAAAGGGCTACCAAGTTTGTTCAAACAAATGACCTTTACTTATATTCAATGTCACAGGGGTCAAATATATGTTTAAAACCTTTAAACAACTTCTTCTCAATAACCAAGAGGCCTAGGATAATGATATTTGGCCAGTAACATGCTGGGATAAAGGGCTACCAAGTTTGTTCAAACAAATGACCTTTACTTATATTCAAGGTCACAGGGGTCAAATATGTTTAAAACCTTTTAACAACTTTTTCTGAATAACCAAGAGGCCTTGGATAATGATATTTGGTCAGTAATTTGCTGGGACGAAGGGCTACCAAGTTTGTTCAAATGAATGACTTTGACCCACTTTCAAGGTCACAGGGGTCAAATGTGTTAAACATCTTCAAACAACTTCTTCTCAATAACCAAAATACCCAGGGTACTGATATTGGGCCTGTAGCATGCTGGGATAAAGGGCTACCAAGTTTGTTCAAATGAATGACCTTGACCCACTTCAAGGTCACAGGGGTCAAATGTGTTAAAATCTTTAAACGACTTCTTCTCAGTAACCAAAAAGCCCAGAATACTGATATTGGGCCTATAGTAGGCATGGATGAAGGGCTACCAAGTTTGTTCAAATGAATGACATTGACCCTTTTTCAAGGTCACAGGGGTTAAATATATTCAAAATCTTTTAACGACTCCTCTTCTGATTACCCAAGAGGCATAGGATAATGATATTTTCCAGTAACATGCTGGGATGAAGGGCTACCAAGTTTGTTCAAACGAATGGCCTTCATCAATTTTCTAGGTCACAGGGGTCAAATATGTTAACATCTTTTAAAAACTTCTTCTCAATAACCAAAAGGCCTTGGATGATGATATTTTGCAAGTAACATGCTGGGATGAAGGGCTACCAAGTTTGTTCAAATGAATGACCTTTGCTCATATTCAAGGGCACAGGGATCAAATATGTTTAAATCTTTAAATGACTTGTTCTGAATATTCAAAAGGTCCAGGGAAAGATATTTAGCCAGAAGTATGCTGGGACGGAAGGTTTTAAACTTTCAAGGTCACAGTCTTCATATGTTTAACTCATTTAACAGAATCAAATGGATCAAACACAAGATATTTTGCCTGAAGCTGTATATTAGTCCACTTTTAAGATAACAAGTGTGAGATTAATACCAGGTGAGCGATTCAGGCCCATTGGGCCTCTTGTTTATTTTATAATTATTCCAATTTTGCAATTTGAGAAAAAATTCTTGGAAACCCTAGATCTGTTGTGCAAAAAAAAAGGTAAATTTAAAATGCCTTTGTGTTACATTGTGGGAAATCAAAATGAAACCTTTATCCATTGATCTGTCGTAGTGTTGATCTAAGATATTATGGATTTGAAGTGGGTTTTTTTATAGTCTTTATAGAATTTCTGTTGATAAATTACTCTTGTTTTATTTAATATATAACGGTTGAATTTTTTCTTTAGTGACTAATTTATTAAAGATAATAAAATTGTTGATGAAAAGAACTATACTTTGTTATTATCTTATTACTGTGTGTTATTCAACTTGTTCAATATTTTCACATGTTCTAAAAATATTATAAGACTCTTTCATGCCATGATGGGTAAAGGATAGAGAAATTCTACCCGAGGGGTTCTTATTTCACCAGCCGTCCAGTGATCGGGATATAGTGGTACCTGATAGCAGCGGTCATTCCCAGGTCTTGTGAAATCAACTCTTTCAAAAGTCTAAAGGTGGTTCAGTTCATATTTGGTACACAATATCAGTATGACATGAAGATATGCACTTCCCATGCACATTTCTCTCCCTTTTCAGGTAGCTATGCCC